AATTGAGTATAGTCATGTTTATATATGTGCATGTTTAGGGTGTGTGTGTGTGTGCTTACTTACATACATACATACATACATACATCCATGCATGCATGCATGCATGCATGCATGCATGCATGCATATACACATACACGTACACATGCACATACACATGCATGCATGCATGCAGGCATGCGTACTGCATGCAATCATGCATGCCTGCATTCATGCATACAAACACAGGCACACATAGATAAACATAGAAAACACACAAAGATAGACATATACACAAGATGGACGTCCATCCATCCATGCATCCCTCCGTCCGTCCGTCCGTCATCCGTCCATCCGTCCATCCATAGAATAGCGTAGCATGGCATAGCATGCCGTAGCGTGCCATACCATACCGTGCGTACATATGTGCAGAGACATGCTTGTACACTGTATGTATGTATATGCATGCATTACATACACACCGCATATGTGTATTTGTGTGCCGCGGAAATGCTAAACGCTACTGGTGTGTTTCGGTTACCGACATTCACACGGCCGATGGCAAATTCACCTGAAATAAACAACGCAGTTCGCTTGAGTGACTAGAGAGGCGTCCCTGAACAGCCCTGTAAGGCAAGCATGGTCATCTGGCAAGCCGGCTTTGCCACCGCTACCTTTTGACATGCTTCCCCGATTCTGCTAGGACTTGGGAAATGCCATGTCGCCCGCCTCACGCCGGGAAACCTGCCAGGCCCGGATAGCTTGTCCCGAATCCGGTTCAGGCGCTTCTGTGCGACGGCGAGAGCCGCCTCTTCTGCGTGCGAGCTGCAGTTTTCCAGCAGCCACTGTCGGACCTGCTCCCCTTGCTCAGGGTTCCTGTCCCAGAAGACGTGCTGAAGCAGAAGAAGATCCAGCTCCGAAACTTCGACGCCTCCGCAGGTGAAGGCTGCGATTTGAAGCAAGCGCGTCGCCTTCGCGAGCCGACGATCAGACAGGAGGACGGGCAAAGCCGCGCTATGCTGAAGGTACTCTCGCAGGTCAGCCAGTAGCTTCAGCAAACGCTGAGGCACCTGCAAGGGCTTGGTCTGGGAACCTCTAGATTCTTTTGCAGAAGCGGAACCCTGATTATGATTAATCTTCACACTCTCCTTTTTGGCTCTTATTGCCTCGCAGTGGGGTTTAGGAGCGACAGGTCTCGAATACAATCATTGAGGTTTAGACCATTCATTCACTGCGGTGCCTTGACCTGCTGAGATGCACAGCTGCAGGCTTGACGGCAAAGGTGGCAGTCAATAATCTTGTCCCGACTGGACTCAGAAGAGGCTGTGGTAGAACTCGGAGTGGCCAACTCATCTACAAGGAAACTGTGATACTGGCTGTCCGAAACATGGCCGACCATCTTCCTCAGGAGGAAACGGTCGTACAAAGCATCCAGCACGTCATTCTCTGGCAATTCGTTTGATGCACCGACCATGCACCATAGTGGTATTTCATGGCGCTCGCTCCCATTGTCAAAGACCCTTTCGTTCAAGATTGACATGAGGGAATTTAGCACACCGGGAGATGCCTTGAACACTTCGTCTAAGAATGCGACCTCTGCCTCTGGGAGATATCCAGCGGTTTGTCGCATCAACCGGTCCTCTCTTTCTAAGGCTTGAAGGGACAGCGGCCCCCAAACCTCTTCCGGAAGGGTGAACCGAGTCAGCAGACGTTCAAAATACTGCCCGTCGCAGACAGATGCCAGGCGCCTTGCTAGCATGCTCTTTCCGGTTCCCGGCGGGCCTAGAAGCAGCACGTGCTCACCTGCCATGGGCACGTCGAGTTTTTGGGTACCACTTGCAAGAGGCAAGACTCCAGTGAAGCTTGAAGGTAGTGTCAAGGTATAGGCTTAGACAGAACTCGAACACTGGAAATTTTCCGCGTGTCGACATACTTAGAAGCACGAAAACTCATTCGTGACTAGTGTTATGCGTGTTCTTTCCTTGCCCCGGACCATGCACATGCGAGGTGCGCGTTAGTGAAGGTTCAACAGTTCAATGTTGGATCTCCAACGCCTGCAATGGCAGCCAGCAGCAGAATCTTTGCTTCCACAGCGCGCTCTTTGAAGCCGCGAGTCATGCGCTCCAGTGAGCTCGCAAGGAGGCACGGCCAGATCTGTGAAGATTTTGATGCAAGAGTCACACCTGGCGCTGTGAGGATCTGAAGTTTGCAGAGCTGAGACTTGTTAGCTTTGATTACTATAGTATACTGTATACTATTGTCCTGACAAGATCCCGCCTGAGCCTTTTCGCAGCGCTTGGCTAATAAGCTCTGTAGCAGCAGCATGGTTCCTCGCAGTCGTGCCCGGCAACCGCTCGAAGACTGCGCGCTTCGCGTCCTTGTTGCATACTTCAGGGCTGTGCTTCCTATCACATGCTTTTCTTCTTCTAGCGAGGATCCGATACGTCTTTCAGAATCGCTTTCTCACAGGTCTGCGCTCTAGCGCCCCATCCGATATTCTCCTATCCCATCATAGAACCTTCCGGGATGGTTGGACTCGTAGGGGTGTCTCTCATACGATACTTCAGCATCCTGAAGGCGCAGTTGATTGGAGCAACCGACTCAAATTTGTGCAAGCGTCCACCACCTGCAAGCCGAAAGACTCGAGCAGATGGCCCAGCACCTGGTCTGTCTGCGACTGATTTCTCGTGAAGAACCCCTGAACAAAAAGCAGAGTGGTTGGCAGTGCATAGCAAGTGCCAAAAGCAAGAGTTGATCGTCACGACAACATAACTACGTAAGAGTTCAATGGCTGTAAGCGCAATAACGAACCAGCAGTAGAACGGCGGGACCTCGACAGGGGATGGCCTGTACTGGTGCTGCAAGACTAGTAATAATACTAATTGCTAATAATAACAATTATAATAACTAACTACCTGTAATAATAATAGTAGCAAAAATAAGAGTCACATGGGTAGTTCTTTAAACCAGGATCCCTGACTATCAGCTAGGCCCCGAGGCTCTGAGGCTCCGGCGCGATAGTTGGCTCGATGGCCATCCAAGCGATGCTGACCCAACAAGGCCAGGGCCAAATGCTCTATCCTAGTTCATGGGTGGGATAGTATCGAAAATCTAAATTTCTACTCCTCATTGAGTTTCAATACCCTTGAAATGTAAAATGTTACCCAACCAGGACAAAGCATCTGCAGAGCACCCGTGTGCTGGAGGAGCCGTTTCCAAGCAGAGGCCTCTCGTGCCCCATCACAGAGGATTTTGCCCTCTCGCATCACAGAGTTTAGGGCTTAGGGATGTGACGGTTTCGGCTCACACTCGCAGAGGCAATGCCTCAACACAGCTTGTCCCACTAAGACACTAAGACTGGAAACAACAGTACTCCAAGCCAGTCACCAAGCCCACGCACAAAGAACAAGCACTCGAAATGCAAGCATGTAGATTCACCTGCTACCACCCTCCCCCCCGGCCAAAACAAAAACACACACACACACACCACCGTTGCCAAACAAGCATAACTGAGTGCTTACACTGCATCTGCTTCTTTTTGTTGTTCGTAGCCTTCTCTTGCAGGTTCACGCATCAGAAAATGCCAAAGTCATGCTCCACAAGCGCTGTTGTGAGAGGTATATCCTCGCGAGGACCTATATAGACCTAGAAGCACGCAGCCCAATAGGGTCTTTTGCAACGGCGAGTCTAAAGAGCGTGCTACACGCAGTGCGCCGGAAGCAACCGATCAGTCTCACAGGTTGTCCTTCCGTTCGAAAAAGCCGCTACGGTGGGCTTGCCGTTGCGGGGCGGAGGAGGGCGAAGGTTGCAATTGTGGTGTAGAGCACTGAGGGCTCTAGCATCGATGCTCGAGGTGGATGGCCTCTGCTCAGGCGGTGTCCGCATTGGAGTAGAATTTTCCGGACACCGGGTGTTCGATGCCGCTGTGCTACTGCTGCTGCCCGTCGTTGTTAAGTCACCTCGGCCCAGGCCCCAGCTTGTGCAAATCGGCAAACGGCAGGATGTGACGAACGCGAGAGGCTGCGCAAATTCAATCGTGCACTGCACTGTGCTGGCGACCACAGCAACTGTGCGAGATCGTCTGCATGCCGACTTTTGGCAATATGATGCGCGTCAGCGAGGTTCAACAAAGGAAGCACACATTCGCTTCTGCCAGCTCCAAAGCTGCCCTTGATTCAGATCGCCGCCTCCAAGCGAAGATGAGAAACGAATAGGCTTTGCCATCCTCCGGGTCGATGCGCCCTCCATTTCTGCACACATGCCTCAACAGGTCATCCTTTACGATGCTGAAAGTCCCCCGACTTCCGGGTGTCCTTCATTTCTTCTTTGCAAGCTTTGCGCATGAGTTTGCACCGGCGCTGACGGGCCATGGCCATGGCTGCAGGAACTGCGAGCTGCAGTGCAGGATAACCGACTGGGAGGCCTGCAAGAAACATGTTATCAAGTTCCGATGGCAAGCGTCGTTTGAGACGTCCTCTTCCAAGCATTGGACAAAAATCACGCATGCCAAACTTTGGCATTGACTAGCAGATGCACAGTTTGTCGGATGCTCAGGCAACAATGATAAGGCCAGTTTGTGCTCACGGAAACAACGGATAGCTGGAGCCAAACTGCATTGACACACACGTCCCACAAGCCAAGCGAGGTTCAGGGTTGAGTTGTTTACGCGCGCGCGCGCTCGGACTAGCCAGATGCCTCTCTCACAACTTCCAGGGGCATGCTATTGGATGGGGGCCTCCTTGGAATTATCTCAGCTAGAGTGCTGCAAGGACAGACTCTCCTGTCGCATGTTTGACTGTCGCTGTTTCTGTACCGCAGATGAGCAAGTTTGCACGTTTCTTCTGGATGAATCACTGACGCTCTGCAACTCCTTAACATGGAAGAACGTGCCTGCTACATTGGAGCGAAACCATGAACGCAAACTATCCGACTTCCCTCAAGGTGTACCGCAAGCATAATAAGGGCACTACAGGGGTCTAGGGGTTTCGGGCTTTGTGGGTTTGGGCTTTATGATAGGGGCTCCCACATTGCCAAAGTTCGCCCACGCCAGACCTCAGCCAGAGCTGCATGCACCCCGCGGCTCAGCATAAACTTGCTGGATCCAGATTGCAGCCACGGCGAGCTTGAAGAGAAAACATCTGCCAGTGGCTCATCTGCATGGGTAAGGGCCATCTTGGCCATGGTCTTTGCCATGGACCTCAGCTTGCGGCCACAAAGGTCTTCTGCAAGGGAACGGTTCGCCATCATGCCCAGGACAAGAGCCTCCTCTCCAATGCAGAAGTGCCCGTAACTGCGAGCTTCTCTTTCGGCAAGCTGAAAAGCCACAAGGAGCTCCCGGCTGACCAGCCAGTCACCGAGCTGGGCGCTCTCGTCTTGGAATCCTGATTCCTCCGGCACGGCCACCAAGGGCAGGTCTGGAAACGTCTGCTGCGGCTCGGGAGCTCCAGGCAGGAAGGTGAAGAGAGAGGAGGATGCCAAGCCACAACCTGCCCATGGCCCATGGTATCCGCGTTTAGTCCCTCATAAAATAACTTTCTATTATATCATTATATCATTTATCATGACCGACAATACGTGTATCACCGGCTCAACCTACTTGCTGCGCTACAGCCCGCGCCTCGGCACTGGACACGGCCGCGGCGGTAGGGGCACCTCCGTCTCCTGGCGAGCGGCCTGCTGCAACAGTCTTGCATAAGAGAAGTATCCCCTGATGGTCTCTGTAGTTTTCATGAAGGCAAAATATGATCCAACAACCGATCGAAATTATTGCATTTGTTTCGGTCCCTACCTTATTCGGGGGTCCTGCTGCCACAGCCCATGATTGCTACTGTAGGGCATTGAACACATGAACACGACAAGCTTACGAAGACAGGCCCCGTCCCACCAGGCTTTTTCCCGTAAAGCCCATAGTTGAAGTCAGCAAACCCTAGGCTCAAGTCCAAAGTCGACTGCGGCAATGCAGGGACCTCAGTGCCTTAGTGATTGGAACAGGTTTCGGTGTAAACTAAAGTATGATTATTATATGTATGGGGACATTCGGAGGGTCGACTACGTATTCAGACCCCTGTAACACGTGGGTTCGGATGTAGCCTCCAGTGACTCCCGGTCAGTGCTGCAACTGCTGCGGCAGAAACAGCGCCGCCTCCCAGGGCAAGCTTGGCAGCGAGTATGGAACTAGAAGAACGTGCTTACCGATCCGAAGACACATGAAGACCACAGGTTGGATCTTCGTAGACTCGGCTCTGCGATGTATCTCCCCCCGCCCTGCGCCTGCTTTGGCTGCCAGGCTTTGTCTGCTTTTCCGAGCGTTCCAAGGCAAGGCCTGCAAGCACATCCGGAGAACTCTCAATCACCCAGAGAGCCCGACCTGTCAGTCGAAGTCTGCACTTCAAAAATAATACCAAGATCACCCAACATGAAGCCTCAAATTGCGGCATCTCTTGTACTATTGTACCATTACTTTGCGCCCATGCCTCCTTCTGTCTCGCCACTGGCACTTCCAACCGGCAACTGAAACTGCCCCAGCCAGCTTCTTGCCTGCTCAGGGCTCACAGAACTGGGTTCTGGGCTGAATATGTTTATGGCCTGCTCTTCCCTAAGCAAGACAGGAGGATCCTTGCAAGTGGAAAGTTCTACTCCCGCATCTGTTTTTTGCCAGATGGAAGGGTCTGTTGTAAGGACCCCGAAGAGGCCCCCACTTCGGAAACCCTCATGCAACCTTTACAAAACCTGGGAAGAAACCTTTATAGAAGCCTGCAAACTCTGTAGACACCCCTTCGAAACTCCGGTTCCCCCCGCTGCACATCGAGCACAAGCTCTTCAGCCGGGCCGCATGTCTCGTGCCGGCCCAAGATGCCCAGGCTGAACATCAAGCCGTGTCACGACCACTGCAATACCGGGTGTGGCAGTAGTGTCCTAGTAGCAGCAGTAGTAGTAGTAGTAGTTGTTGTTGTTGTTGTGTGTTGTTGTAGTAGCAGTAGCAGAAATACTAATAATAGTGGTAGTACGAGTAGGAGGAGGAGGAGCAGCAGCAGTGGTGGTGGTTGTAGTGGTACGAGTAGGTTAAGACTAGAGCCGTCAGCTTCTTTACCATATTCCTGTTCCCACCAGAGGTTTACAGTACCGAATTAGACCGGAGATGACACACACTTGCACAAGTTCCACTACATCCATGAACCAATACTCAGAAAAAACTGACATAGATTTCGCTAGGAGCTGTGTAACTAGGGGCTTGGACAAAAGAACTGGCAAGGGTCGGAAAGCGGTTTTGAGCTGTTCGGATGCATTGCTAAGCAGGGTGGCTTAGGTTCTCGCTAGAGGGGCATGTTCGCCTGGCTAATCCTTCCGGGGCTAACCTCCCTTGAGCCCGCCCTGCAGCAAAAAGACAAGCTGGAAGTGCCTACGATGGAAGCTTGTGCGTCGACGGTGCGTGCTGTTCAGCGGGGTAGGGTGGGGGGCTTGAGTCGAACCAAAGACTGACGACAACACGTGCATACAAACAGAACAAAAGGATCGCATGACGCGGCAGGGAGGACCGGAATGAGCCCGCTTGCGGTCAGCGGGGGCAGGACAGCAGGCTATGCGTAGACAGACAGGAAGATTCAGACGAAGCCTCGGCTCAAGAAACAAGTCGTGGGCCGATGGGCAAGACTGCGCGAACACAAATCCTAATACGTACGAAGGCCAGAATGCATGCGTGAGTAGTGTATTTCTGTTGTTCTTGAGCGTGGTTCTCGCTCCACTCTTGATGGCCAAGAATCGTCAGTCACGACTGACGGGGCAAGCAAACAAGAACTTGCCCAGCTTCTTTAGCTTTAGCGTTTTCTCGTTTACTCGCAGAGAGCTTTGCTTCGGGACTTTTGCCCGGCATTCTCCAAGACACTCAGTGCGTCACTCAGTTAGAAGAGTGGCGTCTTCGATTTCCATGCCAAGGAAGGATCTCAGCAAGGCCAGCGACCTGGCTCAAAGCTGCAGGCTTCAGAGTTGACATCTGGTCCTGCCCAGAATGGGAAAGGAATACTCCTGAACCCCGAAGCCCTCCAACTTGTCGCCATTGGTGGAGGATCTGATTCAAGGCAAAACAGCATTTGAAGGATCGACAGCCCGACTAGCCGGGCGAGGTGCCTTGCCGGCTGTGTGGCAGGCACCATGTGTCCAGCCTTGGGCTGTCATTTCAAAACCTCTTATCCCTAAGCGCTTTCTGCAGAACCCGACTCAAAATCGAATCCATGCTGCCCCTGCCGTTAGCTCCTGCAGGCATCGTCAGGGTTGTAGTTATGGTTTACAGTTTATGGGTTTGGGGGGTTTCTTACTGTGCCCAGTTCTGCTTTTGAGCGTTGTCCCAGAGCCTGATAAAAAGGCAAGTTGTAGACATCCACAATGAGCCATACTGGTTTGTGAGAACCACGGAGCGAAAACTTAAGCAATCGCCAAACTGCAGTGTCATGGGCGACACTGCGAAAAGATCTAGCACCCAAGACTAAGAAAACGAAGTGCCTTGCAGGATATGAAATTCGACTCACCGTCCAAGAGTTCAAACCTTGACTGCGAACAGTCCCCGAAGTAATCAGCATGCCCGCAGCGTGTGTGCGAGCCCTGGGTCCAAACCAAAATCTTCAGAGCAAGGTCATGGAACATGGAACCCATCAGATGCCAAGACCGGCACAGTCTAAGAATGAATAGCACAGCCTGGAATACTTGTCGAAGAAACAGAACTTGGCTCACACTACTTGGGCCCACGATGGCCTACGTCCGTGTTGAAACATCCAGTATGTAATGACGCATTCCATCTTTCAGTGGGTATGTTTCTTCTGATCGCACTTTCACTGGGTGTACTTCTTCTGATCACAAGTCCTCGCCTACCACGTATTCCGCCAATCGACTCATTCTGTGGCAGAGCTGCGAATGCTTGGCTAGCTCTGCTACAGGTTTGACCTTCAATACCTTCATAGTTGGGACAGCCTTGACTGTTCCGCAAAATGGCCGCTGAATACAACAGCCCTATACACGCAGTGTAACATGTCGACATGGCTATGACTACGATCGCATTTCGAAAGGCAATTAGGTGATGCAACTGGCTTGTACCACCGAGGCTGAATTCTGCAGCACTCTGGACTCTGGAACCTAGAGCCAGGAACGCAGCTTGACCAGTAGACGAAAGTTTTGCAGCCCGATCCCGATCTATTCAAATCCAGCTATTGGAAAACTGCCACCCAGTCGTCTCCGGCCCCGAATGTGAGTTGAACCAGCACTTGGCCCTTCTTCTCTTGGCCCTTGATACGCTGGTGACACCCCAGTGGTATGTCATCGTACTCCCAGCTCCCATCCGAAAACCTAACAAACCAACCACCAGCTGGCGAAATGGCTACGTATTCTGCTTCTGTCTCGCTCTCCTCCAGACAGTCGTCCAGGGAACTCGGCAACCGGAGCCATTTAGTCGAACCATCCGAGCGTCTCAGCCAGTACCCGCAGTCGGGAGAGAAAGCAACTGCCTCTACTGCAGGTCCTTCTCGCGTGGCCCTGGTGAAGGATTCCGATCTAGAGCCGCTCCACGACTGAACCCCGTCGTCAAACAAGATAAAGTAGCGCCCGCTGCAACCACAGGCAACCAAAACGGGATCATTATCGTTTTGGTCCTGCTGCGCCGTAAAGGCATCGCAAAAAGCACTAGGCATGTTCCGGTACTTCCATGACCCGTCCTGCCTGCGTAAAAAATAGCCACTTTCGTCCATATTCAATGCAAGGCAATCAAAACTAAAATCATCAAGGGAATCCAGAAGAGACTGCTGAACACGATGATCGGACAGGCTCGCCCAAAAGGAGTAGCTTTCTGCAGTAGACGTGCTAGAGCTTGAATAAGCTTCCGGCTGCGGTAATGGCCTCAAGAATCCCCGCACGCGAATCGAGACCCCCATGTTCTTGGTCGTGAGCCGGCGGCGGGGGATTTCTTCATGCGTTACATGTACATCAATCGTATGAAGTTTACCGAGCTCCTCTAGAGTTTGGAATACCCAGAGCCGCCGGTTGCCTGTGTAAGCAAACCACAGGTCACCAATTCGTACAACAATCATCTGAGGAATGTCGGTCACCTGTATGCGCCCATACCAGAGCTCATCTAGAGTGTCGTCGAGCCGTCTGCCACAGCTAAACTTGTGACTGACGGAATCGTGTGCGAATCTTATGTTCAGCGGGCGGATTCTCATTGCACTGCAAGCCAAGCTACAGTATGAGCTACACTCTTTGGCAGCTTGCAACAAGCAAACTATTTGAGCACGGCAGGGGTGTTTCCATGCATGCGGCTGTCAGCAGGCACAACAGCAACAGCAACCTGCTTGTATCCGTTATCCCACTCTTCAGTATAGACCATTGAGACAATTACCAATTATCCATGAAGAGTTACCGGAAAAATCAGCAAAATCTTGTTACTGATTCCGAGAGAGATACGCCGTGGACTGTGACGAAGGAGAAGGATGCCGAAGCCCCTGCTTTTGATGGGACGGCAAACTCGGTGCGGAATCCAGCCGTCTGGTGCTGAACCTTCGTGAATGTTTGTGAGTCAGCCCGTGTCTGTATCAGTTTATGTGCAGTACAGGATTTTGAATGTGCGTATGTGGCGGCGTGCCTGTCTCACGTATGCATGCACGCATGCATTCGTGTGCATGCTTGCTTGTCTGTTTGCACATGCGCGCATTCC